AGGGAAAGATTTTGGGCTGAAATAACACAAAAGGTGATTATAATTTGCTTGGGGCAGGGAGTGTCTTGGTAAAAGTAAATAGTGCAGTACCACTGTTCTGTAGAGCTCATTGCAGTTTCACATGGTAATTTTGATGGTATCTTTGCAAAGTAGCATCCACATAGGGGAAAAACTTGATTGGAACTTGCCAATCACTTAGGAAACTGTCTTCAATTCACTTGAGATTTGGGAACTCAGTGAGCTAAAGTTGATGTGTGTTCTGAATTTTGTCTTTAATACACAAACCTCTAGAACTGTCAACTTCTGAATTGGTTCTTTTTCAGGATGGAAAACTTAATGCACCAATAAGGAAGAGTTTGAAAACTTCACAGAAATTCTACTGCTGTCCTATTGAAGGCTGCCCTAGGGGACCAAACAGACCATTTTCCCAGTTTTCTCTTGTAAAACAGGTATTCCTGTTTGCTAAAGTATTATTTTCATACTGATTTAGTCCTGCCTGTCTCTACTCCAGAGTATATGCTTTTGTGTTCAGATATGAGCAAAGCATATATCCAGAATTTGGAGAATTGTATGCAGAAACTCCACCTGGGCATATGGTTGACGAATTTGCTTGTTTGCATGTTGATATGAGAGGACTGGAACCTTTTGATCAGGCAGGTACCAGGACTTGCTCCTAAACGAGAAGACAGTCCCACTCCACAAACTGAAAAGATGGAGAAGGATCAGAAAGGAGGGGAAAAAAATCACAGTAGCAACCAGTAAAGGTTTAAAATGTGGCTGATGCTTTTAAACTGCTTTTTCAGGTGGTCAAGAATTAAGTTTTTCTCTGCTTTAGTAACATAATGCATTTGTTTACTAGTTGACTGCTTACGAAAACATGCAAGACTAGTTTCTGCACAAGTCAGTAAATAAAGCACTCTTCTGCTGCTGGTTACCTGTGGTAAACTGGGGAGACCATAGGAGCTGAGTGTCGTGCACTCGGTGCTGTAAAGGAAAAGGAAGAATTCTGGTGTTTGCTCTGAAGTTGACCTTTTTGGTTTGAGACTGTTTGCTCAGTTGCAGTGTTGTAACATAGACTTACTATTCATGTTCTTTGGTAAGATTCATCTATAGATTTATTCTTATCCATAGGGAACCTCTAATAGTATCAGGACACATAAATGTGTCTGTGATTTAAGATGCACCTAGCACAAACAGATTTGCAGACTTTAAATTCTTTCTGCTGATTTTTTTAAGTTTGTAACTTATTCCTAATGAGACTTTAAAAAAGAATTCATTCTACTTTTCAATGCTATTTCACAACTAAAAAAATGCAAGTATCACTGTTCCACCTAAACATAATTTTCTTCTTGTTAAACCTTAACTGAAGGCTAATATTGACTTCTCGTTGTGTATTCTAGCACTTTATGAAAATGCATGCTGAAAAGAAGCACAAATGTGATAAATGTAGTAACTCCTATGGTACAGAATGGTATTTGAAGCGACATATAGAGGTCTGTGGCAAGACTTTCCAGTGTACTTGTGGATGCCCTTATGCCAGCAGAACAGCATTGCTGTCTCATATTTACAGAACTGGCCATGAAATTCCTGCAGAACACAGGTAAAAGTGAAGCAATTAAGTAATACATTCATCCCCATGTCCTGTGTCTCCCATATACTGGCTTTTTGTCTTTATGTTGATGAAGTGGGGAAAAGGCTCACATTGCTTCAGCTGTAGAGTAGTTTGCAGTTTCTTTGTTCTGTTGCTTTTAGTGCTTTCTGTTTTGTTGAAGGCAATGATGATCATCTCCTCGATAAAATCAGGTTTCTCCACATACAAACCAAAAGTACAGTCAATGTGATAGTCACTGCTGGGGCCGCACACTTCTGTGAGTGCAGAGCTTATCTGCTAACGTTTACAGCTGGTAACTGTGACATGGAATGTAGTCCAGTTTGTTTTCTTTTATAGTCTAGCCATCTTTGCAACTATTAGGAGTTTCCTTTTTTCTTTAATGCCTTTGTATGCATGTTCAGATTTATAGTTGTCTCAATGTGTACATATATTTCATAAAGGGTAGTCTGGTTCCTGAGGCCTAGCTGGGCTGCCTTGGGGTTTCAACTGCTGCAAATTTTTGTGTGTTCTGTTTTGTGTGAAGGAGGGCCAATTATATCTTCAGTTTCCATGAGAGACCTTTACCTGTACAGTAATTTTAAGAGCACTATCCCCTCAATGCTCAGTCTGAGTTAGCATCAGAATAACAGATTAAATGTGTCTTCAAATCAAAGTGCTTAATGTACAAGGGAAAAGAAACCAGTTTAAACTTCCATCTTCACTTAGAAATAGGTCTCCATGAAAGAGGTAGCCTTTTTTTCCTTTTTAAATGGGAGAGAGGAATGAAATTTTACAGTGAAGTTCCTGGGAGTCTTTTTATGTTTTAATCAGGGTTAGTTGTCTTCTCATATCCAACGTCATCTGTGACTTCAGTTTATATTTTCAATGCAATGACTGAAAAGAATGGAAGGCAGATGTTTTGTGCTTGAAAAGAGTATAAATTATTTATCTCATGTTTACAGGGATCCTCCTAGTAAGAAAAGGAAAATGGAAAGCTCTGCACACAATCAGCAGTTGGCAGAGAAAGCAAATGAAGCATTCATCAATACACACAATAGTAATCCTGGCACTCAGGAATTGGAGTCCTCTGAAGTGAAACTAGTGGCCTCTCTCAAAGGCTCCTGCAATCCTAACTTCACAAACCAAATGCAGCCAAAGTGTATGCCCAAGATGCTTTTGCCAAAGCCCAGGGTGGCTTTGGTTAAACTTCCAGTGATGCAGCTGGCTCACTTGCCTATATATGTATCTGCAACAGACTCTTCTGTCAAACCTGCTGTTGTGGCTGTTGATAATCAAGGTTCTGTTGTAAGTACTGTTCATTTACTGCCTCAATCGATAGGAATTCTGATTCCAGCACTGGAGGCAGAAACACTTGTATTTAAGGACAGTATGCCTGTTTCAAAAGTGACGAATTCTGGTCATAACGAACCAATCAGTACAGGTGTACAAGTTGAGTTGGATAAGATTGCAACGAGTAATACAGGGCAACAGCTGGGGAATGTTTGTCACAAGAATAAAATTTCATCAATAAATATACAGACTGACTTATCTTACATTTCTCAGACCTTGGTACCAGCTGCAGCCTGGACTCCCAGTTCATCTGTATCGTCTTGCTCTCAGACAGATCTATCGTTCAGCTCACAGGTTTCATTACCCATCAGTGTGCAAACACAGACACTGCTGCCTGCTTCCAAACTGACTTCATCCATAGCTGCTCAGACTGATGCTTTTAGTCAGGCTTGTTTTCCAACATGTGGCATATCTAGAGAGACTCAAACCAGTAGTACACAGGACTCGATTGATGGGAGAGTACAAATGGACCAGGCTGTAAGGTGCAGTGACATCTTTGACAATGTTGATTCGTCATACAATGTTTCTACTCACATTGAACTTCCAGAGAACAATTTAATGCCTGCAAATATAGATCAAACCTTGCTGCAAAGGAGTAATTGCAAGAGCCTGAATCAAGATACAGTCAAGTCTGAATCCCTTATCAGCTTCAATACACAGACTAATATACTTCCACCTCAAAATACGATGGATAATCAAACCCAGACAATGGACCTACTAAACGATCTAGAAAACATCTTTTCAGGAAACATGTCTGGCCAGACACTGGATAATCGTGGCCTTTTGTCTGAGACGAGTTCCAATGCTGACACACATCTGCCATCTGGTCCATCACAGGGCACAGGAATAGACTTTGACATTGAAGAATTCTTTTCAGCATCCAATATCCAAACTCAAACTGAGGAGAGTGAGTTCGGTACCCTGAACTCTGAGCCAGTTTTGGAGTCTCTGGACATTGAAACTCAGACTGATTTCTTATTTTCAGATAGTGCCACTCAATCATACAGCTGCCGAGGAAATTCTAACTTCTTGGGGTTGGAAATGTTTGATACACAGACACAGACAGACCTGAATTTCTTTTTGGACAGTAATGCCCATCTGCCTTTAGGAAGTATTCTGAAGCAGTCTAGTTTCTCCATGAGTACCGACTCATCTGATACAGAAACCCAGACAGAAGTGTATCCAGCTACTAAAAACCTACCTACTCAGAATATTGAAAGCAAAGTCCAGCTCAGCAGTGCTGAAACACAGACTATGGATAGCTGCTTTGAAAATCTGGGGAGTTTATTCCTTACCAGCAATGAGACACAAACAGCAATGGATGACTTTCTTCTGGCTGACTTAGCTTGGAATACAATGGAGTCCCAGTTCAGTTCAGTAGAAACACAAACCTGTGAAGAGCTGTGCTCCTTGTTTCACAGCTCTGACAAGCCCAGCCATTGAGTCCTGTGCAATCTAACTGTTTACTGTGGTTTGACTTTAAATTATTGGGGTAGGAGGGATGGCTTGACCAAGGTATCCACTTTGCATTATTGAATGTAGTTATTGTAAGCAACTGGCCTAAGAGGCTTCTCATGCTGAAGGTACTCTATTGAATCTGCAACTTTACGTAAGCTGTGTGTGTATAAATGGGGGGAAGGAGGGGCTGTAACTTGTTAATGTATATTTCGACCTTAAAAAACAAAGTACGTGGTGCCTATGTTTTTTCCTCAGACTTCTTTACAAAGCTGATACTGCTTTAATTTAAATGGAAGAGCTTTTGAAGTTGTTCTGTAGATATAGATATATGTATCTCTGTCTATTCCTGGCTTACATATAGGGTTACAATGTGCTGGACCAAAACCCCAACCTGTCCAATTCAGATGCTCCCCTGAATTTACAGGGAAGACTTCTACTAGTGTAAGCTACTTTTGATTACTCTATTTAGTAGCTTATGTTTCAAATCCAGCATGAACAAAATAAGCCATGTTGTTGTCTCTTACTTTATGCCTTCACAGCTTTTTCTCCTGCATAAGTTGGTATTTTCCAAATTACTGTGCAACACTAGACATACATAGGCTCTGGAATTGTTTGATATATTTATTACTAAAAGTATGTAGAAAGCAGTACTTTTATAATTTTTTTTCCTGAGTAGCACTGATGCCCTTAGAAGCGTAGGAAAAGAACTTGGAATGCATAATTATAGGGAAAATTAGTATGTTGTCCTTCTTGCTAGTGTAACAAATGGGACTAATATTTTTAGAGTCTTCAGGAGGCATTAAATTATTTCTGTCTGTAAGATGCAAATGTTACAATGTGAGTGTCCCAAAGACTGGAATAATTTTTTTTTTGTGCTGAAATTAAGCTTTATTAAGATACAAGTTGAGAAATGTTAGTGTTTTATACCTCTGTTACCTTTACAGAAATATTTACAAATGGGAAGTGACATTCTCTAAAATACTCACCTGAGTCCTGCTTCCAAAAACAGTTGGAACCTATACAGCAGAGCTGAGAGATGAGCTCACAGAAGCCCTTTCAGAACAGCTTTATCTTGTTTTTGCACATTGATTTGCAGCCCTCAATTCCTTCAGCATTCAGAGAGTTTTTCTGAGTATGTTCAAATTCAAACAAACTGAGTTTTCAGAGAAGAAATATGTGACCTCTTGGAATTTTTTTTAACGTTCATCTTTCCCCTCTTGTGATTGTTTGCAGTATTTATCATTTGCATGGGGAAAAAAAAAAAAAAAGCCAGTTGTGAATGTATTTTAGAATTTGGCCTTAATTTTTGTCATATATGATAATACCTGCAAAATGTAGGCCTCTGGTTTTCTCCTGGAAAGGTTTTAGTTTCTGTTACCTTAAATGAAAAGAGAAACCTCCTCTTGTCAGAATCCTGGGCCTGTAGCAGACTTTACTCCTCCAGTGTGAGAGGAGAGGTATTGGCTGTGTATTTATTAGGCAGCTCATCAGTGATATATGTCCAAGCCTTAGTTTCTGAAGACTTGATATGCTTTGTGCTTCATATCTTCAACTCAAGGAGGTGGGAGTTAAGTTAGTCATCAGGTGCAGCGAAGTACCTTTTTTATTTGCTTTTGTCTTTCCTATCCCCTTTAAGCTGCCATAGTGAACATAATTAGTTAACACACTAATATGGTAAGCATCTCTACGTTTACTGGAAGTAATGTCTTCAGACTAACCCTGAAACTTCCTCCTGAAAAAAAACCTGAAACCACAGCTGTGTTGCCTGATTTAATTTTTCAGCATTTCTAGCTGCAGGTTCAGAAAGTTCCAGTCTTTGAGTGAAGAAACTGCAGAAAAGAATCTTGTAGTTTCCCCCAGGAGAACAATAACTCTGCTTTGGGGAAGTCCCCCCAGTTTTCACAATGCTTAGAGTTCTGATCTTAAAGGTAGGGTATATTAGAAAAAGGAAGACAATTTATATTTCTGTTTCTTTTGAAGATACAGCTGATTGAAATTTGCCTGCCTACTTTGAAATTGGGAAATAAGATCGATTGCAACATTAGGTTGATTTTTTCTGTTGCAGTATTTTTCTAGTAATGTTGCATCGTCAGGTTTATAAAGTTTTTCTTTCTCCTTTCTTCCCCTGGCTGGAATACCAGAGAATTTTTCTTCATACATAAGCTTCTGTGTTTCCCATGAGCAAGTCGTCTGTACTGATGTCTGAAAGAAGCAGTTACTCTAAATCTGGTTGGGGAAAACTGCATTTTTCCATATATGGAAAAGGGAGAAATGAAAAAACTGTTCATTACCTCTGAATTTAGAAAGTCAGTCTTTTCTGCAAGAGAAGAAACCTTGGGTGATGAGGAGCAGAATTACAGAAGGCTTTGAATTGTGAGAGACCAGCTAGAATTTCAAGAACTTTGAAGGTAATTTACAGATCAGAATGAGAATTGCCATGTTCTTATGGTGTAAGCCAAAGCTCTTACCATGGACTATCGGAAAAAAAAAAACAACCTTGAGGTTTGTGTGGACACAATCTTGCTGTGTAATTGTTAGTCATTTATTGTACTTTGTAATTAAAAGTATTTATGAGCTTTGTGTGTTTTATTAGAACATGCAAATACCGTTCTCTTCCTTCATCCTGCAGGTTTCAAATAGTTAGAACTTCAATTAGGTGAACACAGTACTACAACATGAAATTAGCTATTGAAAATGCAGCATTAAGACATTATTAAATATGTTTGCATTGTCTTTGGAAATTGGCTCATTTTGACCAAAATTAACTTATTTCCTCATAAATGTATTTCTTCATAAATTTGGTTCTCCATAAATTACTCATAAAAGTCAAAAAGGTTTGCTGGTATATGTAATTCAGTTTGGATTTCTTATTTTCATTAAAATGTGATGACTGCAACCAGACTTCATAGTTTGCTGAATCCCACAGTAAACCTCATGAAACCTGCTCTGAAATACTGTTGCTGAATATTACAAATCCTTAGATTTGAACAAGTTTTTTAAAATGGCTATTTTTCTATTTTGGCCATTGTTTTAAACTTAAGTCAGAACTATTTCTTGGTAGCACTAAAATTATAACTTGTCACCCTTTTTCTGCAGTTTCTCTCTGATTTGGTTTTTCAGGCACTGTCTCCATTTAAAGTATTGGTCAGCAGTGACATTATTCTCTTTTGTATCCTCTGCTGCCATTTGGACTGCTATACAAAATTAATCTCAGATTCTCTGTTGCCTCTTAGCACAAAAGTTTTGTCTGGAAGCAATACTTATTT